AGGGTTCCAGGTTTAGGGGTTTAGGGGTTTAGGGGTTTAGGGTTTAGGGTTTACGGTTTAGGGTTCCAGGTTTAGGGGTTTAGGATTTAGGGTTTAGGGTTTAGGGTCCAGGCTTTTGGGGTTTATGGGGTTTGGGGGTTTGGGGTTTAGGGTTTATAGGGTTAAGGGGTTTAGGGTTTAGTGTTCAAAGAGGTCTAGGGGTTTAGGGTTTAGGGTTTATAGGGTTTAGGGGTTTAGGGGTTTAGGGTTTAGGGTTCAGGGTTCAGGCTTCAGGGTTTGGGGTTAGGGCTTAGGGTTTAGGGTTCAGGGTTTAGATTTTAGGGTTTAGGGTTCACGGTTCCAGGTTTAGGGGTTTAGGGTTTAGGGTTTCGACTCTCACACTCGCACGCAGCAGGCAAGGCTCCACACAATAGGGTTTAGGGATTCAAGGTTTAGGGTTTAGGGTTTAGGGTACAGAACGAGGCATTTGTGCTTCCTTCTGCTTGTTGCGTGGACGCTTACAAACTGTGCCTGCAACAAGCCCTGGAAGGAGGAGGGTCAGACTCTAAACAGCAAAGACAAGCCGAGCTACAGGCACAGGCGCGTGCTTTGAAGGCTTAAGTGCTGAGGGTTTACCCTAAACCCTAAACCCTAAACCGGGTTCGGGTTTGAAATGGTGCAAAGGATGGCCACATAAGCACTGCCCTGATCTTTCCGTCCCGGCCTGAAAATCAGCGGAATCGCCTGGGGGCAGGAATGCACTCCGATAGCGACCCATAGCGACCCACCCAGCCAACTTCGAGGGGACCGGAAGTTAGGATTTCTCACTCCTACCCATGTGCTGCTCTAGCGTCATATTGGTCAGGATCTGGATCTTCTGACTGATGGTTCTTCTTACTTCTACCAGATTTCGCCACTCCTCCAGCTCATGTTGTCGAAGATAGTCACTGCCTTAAACAGTATTTCCCAGAACCCACATGCCAAAACCAGCGAACTCAGAACCCTAAATCTTAAGCCTTAAACTAAACCCTAAACCGAAACATGGGAGGTTCTGGAGTACCTATATTTTCTCCACTGTAGTTCCAAACTTTTGGGGTTGCCTTATAGGGTCCTAAATATATAATCGCTAAACCAAGAAAAGGGAACTAAGACTATAGGTAAACTTCCGACACACTGCACCCACGCATCCTACAGCCTAACACCCCCATGAACACTTCTTGAGCCTAAACTTCCACATACTGAGCCTTGCGTAAGGTGTTCGGTGCTTTAGGGTAGGACCCTCAGAGTTTGGGGGGGTTTGCTTAGGGGAGCTGCGCGACAGAACCTGCTTGTCCCAGCCAGATAGACGGAGGAAAGATCGTCTGAGACACAGGCTCAAACATACCCGTCCATATGGGGGTTTCCGAAGATAGGGGATCCTAGTATAGTACCCTAAATAATGGGATCCTTACTTATAAGGATCCCCCAAAATACGGTACCCCTTATTTTCGGAAACTCCCATGTAGTCCCAAGACTCAAGCAACCCATCCTGAAAACCCCAATAACCGCAGGAAACACAAGGCGAAATAACAAGTCTCCAGGCCCACCTCCCTCTGTTGCCGCAGTGTCTTCCAGCTGGGCATCTGCCTGCTTCTCTCGCTGTCTCCCGGTTTAGGATTTAGGGTTTAGGGTCCGCCTGTGCTGTTGCATTCAGAAGGTCTAGCAGCTTGGCTCTTTGGCTCAGCTGGGATTCTGGCTTGCGTTCCGATATGTAGGGTGTTCAACGAGCAATTGCTACGACGTATCGCATCTGGTCTTATGACATTGAGGATGCGGGACTTGAAGTGCATGTCACTTGTCTTGCCTCTATATGTAGTGCCTGCATGGTAACCTTTTCGAGAGTTTCGCGGTGTCTCATCTCCCCGACTCTTACTGCCGCAAAAGTGTCCAACTGTCTCCAAGATGTGACATGCGAACGTAACTCTTGCTGCCGTGTTCGCGATCAACGGTCTCCAAGGAGAGTACAAGCGCAGTTCGCTCTCTCGCCTACTGCCTTTCAAGTCTAGGCCCGTTGAACCACCAGTGCTCTAATTAAGTTCCGCGCGCACAACCCCAAACCGGAAACCTCTAAAACCTCTACGTAAATCCCTACACATAGCCCTTGTGTCTCAAAGCCCGAAAATTATCTCGGACACGTTGCAACACCGCCATGTCGCGCTGAAGGGTCTGGGATCCGGGATGTTAGATTCTGGGCTAAACTATCATTGACTGAACTCTGCCAGACATAAGCAAATCATGCACGTCTTATGCGGGACCCTATGCAAATGTAGAGCTTCAGCCCGAACTCCCACTGATCAATAAACCTAACGACCAAACCAAAACTCGAGTATAAAAAGTATTGCGTGTTCCAATTCATTTGCGAGGCTGGCGAACCTCGAAGAGCCCATAGAGCTCGTGCCAGAAATGCCCGGTGCTCGTGCTAGCGGGCATCGCAGACCTTGCTGGCTTCAGCTAGGACCTTAATGCACTTAGGATCTAAAGTCTAAAGCTGAAGTAACAGGGTCGAGCTTCCTTGCAGGTTTCAGACTGGTGTGGCTTCTGAAGTCCATATTCCGGAATCCCGGATTGAGGGTTCCGAGGTTCAAGCTTTTGCGAACGGACAAAATTTAGGGCAGAACTAGAAAGACAAGTCATGAAGGCAACGCCGAGCCCGGATGGCAAGCGTTCCTACAAAAAGCTGCCTGAAACACGAAACTCTATCCGAAGCCCTCTCCCCCCCAGCAACAGGACTCTGGAGTTCACAATATTTGCCTCGGATTGCTCACTTCCTCACTGCGAGTAACCCATCTTCAGAATGTAGAATAGAAACTACTAACGCCTTCAAGACAGATGGGATGCTCTCAGAATGGAATCTGGCAGCACTGTAACGGTTTAGGGTTTAGGGTTTAGGGGGCGAAGACCCGTTGGGACTCTAACAAACAAGTTGCAAGATCCCCAGCCCCAGCCGAAGGCCCCTTGCGCTTAAAAAACCGGATCTTGCACAACGGCCTAGAACAGCAGACGAACGGGAGCCCAAAATCCCAAGCCCCAGGACCTAAACCCTAAGACGCCTAGTAAGACTAAGTCGAAATCTTCAATCCTGGATTCCCTACAGCCCTATAGTCCGCCAAAAGCCCCGAAAGCCTCGAGAGAGCCAGAAACCTTAGGCTTCCACTCGAAGACCAAAGATTGGACCTCACTCGATTGTTCATAACATTGGATTTGGGATTTGGGACTTTCCAAAAATAGGGGGTACCTGATTTTGGGGTCCTTATAATAAGGATCCTATTATTTAGGGTATTATATTAGGGTCCCCCATTTTCGGAAACCCCCATTTGGGTTTTGGGATGTACGGGTTTGAGGTGAGGTTGAGGTTAGATAGCATTTAGGGTTTGGTGGAATGTTCAAGCCGGGCGAAGTCGCAACTCAGACAGCCACGTACCCTTTGATTCAAGACTACTTCGGCCGAAGACAAGCATGCAAACCGTGGAAGTAGTGAGTCCCAACCTCCGAACAAACCATGTACTTGTATTCTAGAATCTAGAAACATTCAGCCCTGATCAAGCCGCATGAAACTCGACCTGTAGCCCCTCGCCCCACACCACGACGAGTCGTCAACTCTTGAAGACTGGCTCATGGTTGGACAGGCGGATAAGTTGCACAGGTATACAGCTCTTCAAGAAGCCCGAGTCCGCAAAACATCCCTGAGCCAGCATCTCTTCCAAAACAGTGCATGCCAGATCAGAGAGTGCCGCTGGACACCCTCTAAGACAACTTTCCAGACAAAACCCATGCCAAGGCTGTTTTCGAAATCCCACAACCCTGAAACCATGAGCATTCAGGCGCCAAAACAAAAACCCTAAACCCTAAACCCTGAACTCTAAACCTTAAACCCTAAACCCAAAGTGACAGACAATAGCATCCTCAACACTGACTGCAACATGTCCTCAATCCTGACATCCTACCCCACCCCAACACGACTGCCCTATAGACCCCTAGAAGCCCTAAGATCAGACATCCAAGATCCCCACCGAAATCCAAAACCCCAAAATCCTGATGTCCGAAGCCCCGGTCTAAACTACATCAAAACCAAGTGGAGTACAAAAGCCTTGTTAAAGCACCCTAAACCGGAAACCCGGAAACCCTGAACCCAATAGGCCCTACTCCCCGAAGCCATGAACCCGAAGAACCAAACCCTAAACACTAAGTCCCAAAATCCGACACCCCATTTACCCGAAACACTGGGGCTCTTCTTTGGGATCTGCCCTTTCAGCTCCGGGCCATTGAGGCTGCTGGAGCGTTAACCGGCGTCTCCTTTTTTTGCATCTTGTTGTTGCGTGTTATCTGTTGTTTTTGGGAGGAGGGGGGGGGATAGGGGGTGGAATGGCTTGAGGGTTTAAGAGCTCCGGCGTTGGGGTTGGTTTCGGTGGAGCTTGGCATTTCTAGGCTCGAAACAGCTTGTTTCGGGTTGGGGAGTATGCGGCTGTACAACCCCATATGCGGCTTCTCTGTAAGGGCCACTCCCCAAACGCAGTATGATAACACTTGGAGAAGTGTGATTCGGTTTTTGCACCGTTTCAGCCTAAGGCTTCATGGATCACATGGAGCTTTAAAACTCTCGCAACCCTAAACTCTAAAACACTAAACCCTAAACCCTAAAACCCTAGACCCCAAGACCCTAAAACCTCAAACCCTAAA